TCTTGATGTATTCTATTACGGAAGGCTTTCAGTGAGCCAGGCCCCATAGGTCATATGGCCAAGGAATGGCAGTGTGTGTCATTGCCCTGGGTCTGCAAGGTGAGCACTGGTAGATGTCACCCCAGAGAGAGGCAGCTGTCTGTCGGTGCTGTCTGTGCAGGACTGTCTAGGAAAGGAAGTACAGGCAGCTACTTAAGAGGAGTGTCAGCCCCAGCACACTGTCAGCCATTACAACAGTTGCAAGTGGCAGCTTCCAGGTTTCTTCTCAGAACTCTACTCCAGCAAGAGTCCATTGTCAGTGCGTTTGACGTCTTCCAGAGGGCTAGCCCTGGCGTGTAAGCTTCAGTCCTAGGCCTTGGTTCAAGCCCTGGGCCTGGGCCATGGCTCCATACATTTGGTCCTGCCCGGGTGTGCACAGACCTGTGGTCAGTTTGTCCAGCCACAGGGATGCTGGGAAGCCGAGGACCCAGGAGCACTTTGTTGTGCAGTAGCAGAAGCGGCCCTGGCAGCATCCTTAAGTTACAGTCCTCAGGGCGCCTGGACCACAAGCATACTGTATCTGGACTGAAATAAACACGCCTTGTGTAAACTGGGATAGGGGAGGCAAGATGACTCAGTGGTCAGGGTGCTTGTCACCAAGCCTGTAGTCCTGAGTTCAGTCCCTGGAGCCCACGTGGTAGAGGAAGAGCTCCTGAAGTTTGTCCTATTCAGACGCCTGGAAGTTGTCCTCTGATCCTCTGACCTCTATGTGCACTGTGGCATGCTTGTATATGTGTACACATGCACACACACACACACACACACACACACACACACACACACACACACACGTAAGAAAAAGTTCCAGGACCAGATTTAGAAGAAACTTTCCCATAGACTGTTACATGGAATATGCCACAGACCTGGGCAGTGAGTCTAGTTCCAAGCCTGGTCCTGAATTACTTCTGAGGGGATCCACATGGGTCTTTCTGGAGAAGTCTCTAGGCTGAAAAGAATGCCAAGAGACCTAGTTGTTGGTGACCATCTTTTCCCCCTTTCCCTAGAGCCCACCACATGGTCCTACCCAGATCCATGAAGGTGGCTGGTGGCCATCCAGCCCTGACCAGCTCATTCTTGCTGTCTAAGATCTTCTAGCTCTTCCTGCTTGCTTTGTACCTGGGACTGGGCTAGGATCATGGAGGGGTTTGTTGTTATTGTTGCTGTTGTTCAATTTAATTTTGAGACAAGGTCTCACTGTGTAGACCCAAATGGCCTAGAACTCACAGCAGTGTGCCTGCCTCTGCCTCCCGAGTGCTGGGAGAGTTGTAGAGTTTTAAGGAAGAGAGCAGGGAAGAGCCTGCACGGTACCCATCAGATACCTGGCCCTGATTGTCCTGTCTTTGTTGGCTTCCCAGGTGACCTGAACTACAGGAGATGTTTATCTGAGCAGTGGTTTTCTTTCTTTCTTTACAGGACAGGGAAGATGGGGAGCCACAGACCAAGCAGCTCAGAGAAGAGGAAGAGGAAGTTGGGAAGCACAGGTAGAGTCTGGGGCAGGGTGTTCTTGCCGTGACACACTGCCCTGCTCTTCCTGCTGACAGCCTGGGATCCCAGTGCTTCTCAGGGCTGGACATTGCTCATGCAGCTGCCATGTTCAGACCTGAAAAGACCAACCCTGTCACTCGTTAGGACCGTCGCTTCCTTGCTTACTGTCTAGCTCAGGGGTTCTCAACCTTCCCAGTGCTGCAACTCACAGTTCCTCACGTTGTGGTGACCCCTAACCATAAAATGATTTTCATTGCTATTCCATAACTGTAATTTTGCTGCTGTTGCAAATCATAGTGTAAATATCTGTATTTTCCCATGGTCTTAGACGACCCCTGTTACCACCCCAGGTTGGGAACCACTGGTCCAGCTGTCAGTTTGGGTCACATTGTACCCGTGTATTACATCTTTCAGTGTGCCACGCACCTTTTGTGTGTTCCACATCCCTGCAAAAGCAGGTCCCACTGTGTGCAAAGCTCTGATCATCTGCTCTCCCCTCCCTTCTCAGCCCACACTCGTTTGTTCATTCATTCATTATTCACCTATTGGACAGCTCCCTTCATGCACAGGTACTGCTGCTTGGAGTCTATACTTTGTATAGAAGGTAGGATGGCCCTATGGGCAGGCAGAGCTCCCCAGAGGAGCTGGGCTGTCGTACCAGAGCAGGCCTCCGTATTGCCACACCCCTTAATCAGCTTCATGGCTCGAAGAGCAGGCCCTGATCCTTTTCATGTCCAGCATCAGTTAGGATGCTTTTACATCATCCTGTTAGCAGTCCTTCAAGGTCCTTGCTGTATCTCTTGGGTTTAGAATGTGTCAACAGCTCTCTATTCCAAGAGGCTCTGCACTGGACTCTGTGGTTTGGGGAGCCCCTAGCACCTTGAGGATTCTTGCCACGTGCCCCCAGACCTGTATGATTTTGGGGTAGGTACCCTACACAGTCTCCCTCATTCTTTTTTTTTTTTTTTTGAAATATATATGAGTATACTGTCACTGTCTTCAGACACACCAGAGAGCATCAGATTCCATTACAGATGGCTGTGAGCCACCATGTGGTTGCTGGGAATTGAGTTCAGGACCTCTGAAAGAGCAGTCAGTGCTCTTAACCACAGAGCCATCTCTCCAGCCCCAGTCTCCCTCATTCTTAGTCACTACTTAGAAGCTGGAGCATTTCCTTCTGGCTTGTTCATGGGTTCTCAGCTCATAGGTTCTACCTGGAGCCTCCAGTCTCATTTCTGGGCTGTCTCTGATACACTAGATGGTCTCTTCTCATCTTCTTCCTTGCTGAGGAGGAAGGGTCACTGGTTAGCAATAGGTAGGTCAGGAAGAGACTCAGCTGTTGGCCGCCATGTGTCTGAATCTCCGAGATGGGGCTGCAGCAAAGAGAAAGTTCAGTATCGAGACTCAGTTTTGGAAATAGTGCATGTGTGTTTCCCAGTCCTTACCAACTTCACAGCGTGTCTGCTGTGTGCTCTGCAGGATGCTGCTGCAGACACCTGGCATACAGCGGTGGGCGGGGGCATTCCCTAAAGGGACACAGGCTGTTTACAAGAGGAGTTGTGATAAGCTGCTAGGAAGAAACAGTGTGAACGCACAGGGAGAGGTGGCTGCGGTGAACACTGGTGAAGAGGTAAAGAGACTGGGCCCACAGTGGCTTTCACGGTCTGTAACATGTGCTTTATTTTTAAACAGAAGACCAAAGGGAAGGGGCAAACAACACATCTCACTGTACAGTAAAATATGGCTTTTTCTTGACTCAAGTTGGGTGAGGACATAAGTTATGACCCTCTTCCTGTCCTAACTGAGAAAGAAGAAGGAGTATACTTAGTTCCAGGCTCCTGTCAGTAAAAGGTCTACCCTGTGAGGCCATGTCAAGGCTCTGCTCACTTGCTAGGTTTAAAAAGGTCATGTGTGATAGAGCACTGGCCCTGTGTCCTCCTGTCAGAGCAGCTGAGGGCCGAGCGTGGTAGACATTGGTTTAGGTCTGCTCCGCTCGCTTGCTCACTGTGTTCTGCTCTTGTCTCGTCTCTCCTCTCAAGCAGTGAGGGTTGATCGTGCAGCTTGTCTGGCTTGGGAAGGGGGCCCAGCTAGCAAGGAATTGTACCTGCCTTCAAAGCTCCCAGAGAAAAGCAGGCTCTTCTGATGTGAATGCCTTCAGAGCACAGAGCCAGGAAGGCAAGGCTGAGTCTCGGCAACAGTTAACACGAGGCCAGACCCTTGACTGGACCCTACACAATGGCATTCAGGGACTGAGCTCTCCAGGAAGAGAAGGATGAATGAAGCCGAGGGCAGGTCCTCCATGCAGAAAGGACTCCAGCAGGATCACCTGTGCATTCCAGCAGATCCACACAGACCCTGAGGCCAGGTCCCCTTGGGGAGAAAGGGTGACCCACAGCTCCACTGCAGGGCTGGCCTCTGAGGCTAGTCACTAGTGAGCACATTGGCTTCTTGGGCTTCTTGGAGGTGGAAACAGTTTGCTTCAGTGAAGCAGAAGGGAAGCTTGGGAGACGGCAGCCCTGAGTGTCTGTAGAGACCAGCACTGGCTTACACTGTTTTCAGCCAAGGGCAACGGGACAGGGCCTCATGGAGAACGGTGTGCCTTGAGTTAGGCATGGAATTCAGAGGGCAGGGAGTGGGTAGTGGGGCCAGAGGCCTGACCCTGTAGTGGGAAAGGGTGGGTGGGCTGGGAAGACGGATAGCACCTCAACTCCTAGGACCTCTTACTCATGAGCCCCCAACCCCAGTTTTACACAGTGTCAGTAGGGGTCCATCCTGGGAATGATACTGAGGGACTTAGAGAATCAGTGTCTGAATTCTGGACTGGATGGGACGCCTCCTGAAGCAGAGTCTGACAGGGAGGAAAACGGGCCCTCTTTCTCTCCCTCCTTCCTTCCCCACTTCTCCTCTGCCCTGACCTGGAGACTCCTCCCTGGCCGTTGCATCACACACTACCACCCGGTGCTGACCTCTCTCCACCAGATGACTCCAGGGACCTACTGTCAGTGTGCACCTGTGTGCTGGCACAGAGTAAGATCCGCCTGCCCCAGTGCCCCTGCAGGTCACTCGGCACCACCTTGACACTGCGCAGACCCTTGGCTGACGGCCATTTCAGTTGATTTGTGTCGTTACATCATCGTGCACTTAAACAAAAAATCAGCAAAAGGCTCTGAAAGAGTAGGACCCAAGCAGATAGAATGAGGCTCGAGGTTTGAAAGTCACATCCAGATTACGGGTCAGGGCCTACAAATTATTAGCTCTTTGCCCCTAGGTGTGGAGAGCCGCATAGTGCTGCACCTTTAAGATGGCACTGGTCTCTGCCTTCCACCACCTGCTGGCGAGGACTCTTAGGAGTAAACAACTCCTTATATGGCAGTGGCAGTTGATCTGGCTTTTCTCCCTGTGTGTGTGGACCTATCTGCTGTTGCCACGTGGCAGACGGGGGTTGGCTAGCCCTAGAGTACTTAAGCCTGGGAGAGGCTTCCCTCCAGGTCGTCAGTTAGAAGGTGGTCAGTTAGAAGGTCATCAGTTAGAAGATTGTTCAAGGGTCCTGATTAAACTGCTTGGAGAAGAGCTCCTGCGTTGCGTCTTCCTTGCTGGTCGAGGGTGGACGCGACACCTAGGGTAAGTCATGTTACCTTTTTGAGCTTCAGCTAACCAATCAGAAATGAAAGAGCACTTGCTTCCCCTGATGGGAACCTTAAGATATTGCCCAGCGCAGCTGGGCTCTGAGCAGCAGGAAGACACTCGGAGGCCCTCCCTCCTGAGATGGCTACCTACAGACAGAGCTTGAACCTGCCTAACTAGTTCTTAGAGAACACACTGTGCTAACTTTACAGCTAGGACAGTAGCTGGGGAAACAGCAAGGTGGGTGCATGGGCGGGGAAAGGAGCACATGTGAGCATGAGAGGGAGGAGGAGGAGCCAGTGCAGAGCCGTGCTCACTTGACAGATGAGACAGTGCTGGAAGGAAGCCGAGTGGCCCCACTTCACAGATTGAGCTGTCCATCCAGAAACATTGCAAGGCCGGGGTATGCAGCTGGGGAGCAGTGGGGCCAGCACCCTAGGGTCCTGCCCCTGCGTCCCCAGCCAAGCTGGTCTTGTGGCCTTCCCAGGGTGGCCATCCCGTCGTCCATAAGACTTTTTCCAGAATGACTTTGGCTGTTCTAATCCTTTCTTTCCTTATAAACTTGACAGTCATGCTGGATGTAGTGGCTCACCCGGCATCCCAGCACTAGCAAGGCTGAGGCAGGAGGATTGTTGCAAGTTTGAGACTACCCTGAGCTACAGTTTGAGACTGTCTCCAGACTCTCCTTTGCTCTCACTCCCTTTAACATCAGCTTGCTGATGTCTACTAAAGAGAAAGGAAACCTGCTGGCATTTTGATTAGAATTTCATTGAGTCTGTGGATAAGAAATACTATTTATTGCTCTCCTAGTATAAATCTTGTCCCGTTCCCCACAGATATACCTGTGGTAAGAAAGGGGGAGCCCAAGTGGTGTCAGACTTGTGTTTGTTGGGAGGAAAGACACCTCTGCCCCCCAGAGGTCAGCTAGCTTTGCTTCCCAAAGGCATGTCCTGTCTGCCGAGTGCCTGGAGGCTCTGCCCTGTAGAGGGTCCTTTGGTTTTGGGGCTGAGAAGCAGGATGAAGGGAGGTAGCTGCATCCCATATCTGACACAGGAGTGTACCATGCTAAGTGCCTGAACAAGCAAGTCGCAAACCACTTCCCTGCAGCTTTGGATCCTGGTCTTTGTTGGATGTGATGGTGGGGCTCAGACCCATGGCTCTGCACACACTAAGTTGAACTGTATTCCCTCCCACTGCATTCAGGTTCCTAGATCCAACAGACTTCAGAGGGTTTTCCCTGCAGTGAGTGTCCCATATTGTGAAAGACACTAGGCCACTGGCCTGCCTTCTCAGGTTGTTCTCCAGCTCCATGTGTGTGTGACCCTCTTGAAGATAGTAGTCCCGTTCTGCTGAGACCAACTCCAGGCTAGGTGCCAAAACCCTTTAGTCTGGCAAACGCCAGGCTTCTCTCTTCTGCAGATCGGGTCCCAGGGTCTTTGTACCAAGGCATGTCTCAGGTTAAACACGTGTTGCTCCGTTTTCTTGGTGACCACGAGGCTACGCCCACCTTCCCCCTACAGGTATCCCTGTCACCAGCCTGTGGGATGGCTCTGGTTCCCTTCCCTCACTAAAGCTACGTCATGGGACATAACATGTAGCACCCCTTTCCAGACTCACTCACTGGGAAGACCAAATTAAGAAAGGGCTGGCTTAAGACTTGCGTCAGTCTGACTGCCTGTGCGGGCCACGTCCCTACTGTGTAGGAAGAGTGGGAACATCGTTGGGCCGTCTCTTTCTGTGTGGGAAAATGTTGTATCGTATGTGTCATGCTCTTCCATGCTTTCAGAGCCCCTTTCTGAAATCTTCTGGCGGCTCTGGGCCGGGTGTGGTGTAGAGGTGGGTAACCACAGTCAGGTAGGTGAAGTCACTTGGCTAAAATCTCCCAGCTGAAAGGGAGTAGAGCTGGCTCTGGGTCCCTCCCTGCATCTCATCTCATGTGTAGGGTGGGACAGTGAGCTCATGCAGCCTTCTGTGTCACTAATGAGAAACTGAAGCTGTCCCTGCCCTCTGCCTGCTCCTCAGCCCCGACAAAGTCCTGCCCCACCCTCTTGGCCTTCTGTGTTACTCCACAGGGAACAGAATCCTGGCTTCTGTCCCACATCCTCTTGGCTCAGGTCGAGGGTGGGTAAAGGATGCAGTAGTCCTGTGACGACTCAGTCAGGCATTTGCAGGAAGGGCAGCCTGCTGGGGTGAACACTTCCTCCTACAATGTTCTGTGGAGTTATGGTTGGGCCCTGGGTGAGGAGCATTGGATTTTGCAGGCCTCTCCCTGTATCCCTGTTACCTGAACTTTCTCTGGGAAGACCTGAACAAACCAGATAGGGCACCAGTGACAGCAAAGAACAGGTCCATCCAAGTCCAGCCTGGGAACCAGCCAGTGTGTTGGACTGACGTATGCTAGAATGTGGGAGAGATTACTTACCGGAGCCTGGGTGACCCCAAAACAGTCACGTCACTGACTAAGCCCACCCCAGCATGGGCAGGGGCTCAGGAGGTAGTGTCTGGGATCTCAGGTCAGACAGTCCTGGTCCTCTCCAGCACTCATTTTATGAGGGACCATTAGCAGGCGCCATTGGAAGGATCATCACAACTGCTCTGCTTAAGATGGTAATGGCTGTTAGCAGAGGACAGCATATCCACCATAGGTCCTGCATCTGGGCTTCAGGTAGCCTTTGTGCCAGTTCTTCTCTGTGAGCCCTCTGGGAAGCAGCTCCGCTGGTGTATACCTTATTTCTCTTCTTAAATTTAGATATACGTACACACACCACGCATGCATGCATACACACGCTTTGTGTCGGGGTTTTTTTAGACAGTCTCAGTGTGTAGCCCTGGCTGGTCCTTGCCATGTAATCCCAATCATGTCAGACTCTAAGAGTCCTCTTGTGTGAGATTACAGGTGTGTGCCACCACATATGGATTTAAATTTTAATAGCTGCTTAAGTATATATTCAGCTTTTTTCTTTTCAGTTGTAGGAAGTTTAGAAAGTACAGATTAATAGATAGTTTAGCAAGTCTGGATAAAGGACTGAGGATGTGGCCCAGCCAGCCTTACACAGCCACGCCATAGGCTTGTGCCAGCACGGGGCAGGTTAACACCCTCGTGCAGAGCCTGTTGTTTTATAAATGTTTTTATGTAGCATACCTTGAGTATGAATAGATAGAAATAGTTCTCTATGACTCCTTAATACTTGTAAGTACTGATTTATTTGTTAGCCCTTGATTTTGACATCTTCTATTTCAGAGAGAGAAAATGTGAGTGTGTGTGTTTGTGTTTGTGTGTGTATGTGTGTACATGTGTGTCTGAGGATGGAGCCCTGCACTGTCCTACTAGGTAAGCAGTCTTCCACTGAACTACATCTCCAGCCCTGTTTTTAATTCTTTTTTTTTAAGATTTAATTTTATGTGTATGAGATTTTTGCCTACAAGTATGTAGATATATACTACATGTATGTATGTATGTATGTATGTATGTATGTATGCATTAATGCACTATCCAAGGCCAGAAGAGGACATCAGATTTTCACAACACTTGTGAGCCACTATGCAGGTGCTGGGAACCAAGCTAGTGTCCTCTGGAAGAGCAGTCTGTGCCTTTAGTCTTGACACGTCTCTCCTGCCCTCTAGAATTCTTTAAACACTTGTTAACTGTGGGTTTTCAGGTGGAATGGGTAGAGAATTTAGCTAGTCCGTGAGAGAATGAGGGTAGATTCTGTACAGCAGATGTGATGACAGTACTCACTGGGCAGAGTCTGATGGAACCAGTGGCTAGCGTGGAATGGCTGCTAGCTGTTGACAAACTGTCCTTGGGTGCAGTAGTACACACCCGTAATCCTAGCACTCAGGAGCCTAAGGCTGAAGATTGGGAGATTTCGAGGTCTGTTATTTGGGGACACCCACCCCCTCTGAAATCTGGGAGACAGTTGTCTCCTCTGCCTTGGAGTGACAACACCACTGAGCTGTTGTAAAGTTTCCTTGGCTGTCAAGCAGCCACTTAATATCCTGAAGAAAAGCATTTAGCACCAGTGACAGAAGCATCCCTTCATTGTCTGTTTGCAGTGTCCATGTTCTGGACTCACCTTGAACATCACCTGCTCTGATATTTTGGTGCCAGGCACTGGGATCCCTCCATTCTGAGCTGGTCCCCTTCCTCAAAAGGACGCTTTTAACCCAGGTCTGGGTCTGGGGTGGAGGTTGGCCTCCCAGCTCTTACTTGGTTCCACTTAGTGCTGTATGGTTCTGTTGCCCATAGTAATCTCCCTAGCGTGGGATTGCTGGGCCAAGGGTTTGAATGCTTTCATGGGTCTTAAGAGAAGCCACGGACACCCTCTGGAGCACTAAGACCTTTGCTTCTCCCTTCATTTCTGTGTTATTTATTTACGTAGAGGTGTGTTTGAGGGGGCCGTAGAGCTCTGGTGTTACTGTACTTTGGATGTTACAAACGAGACCCTTGGGGCTGGAGAGGCGACTCTGCTGGTAAGAGCGCTCACGGCTCGCTCTTCAGAGGACCTGAGTTCTGTTCCCAGCGCTAAGGTCTGGCGACTCACAGCCACCGGTAGCTTCTGCTCTGCGTTTCCCTAGCACCCTCCCCTGGCTTCTGAAGGCACCCTCACATATATAGCATACATTCATTCACACATGCACACAACTAAAAAAATTTTTTTTTTAATGAAACCCTTCTGTGAGTGTAGTTGCTGCTCTCTCTGGTCATTGCTGACCTCTGGAATTCTGCGGACTCATCTTAGCTTTTGAACTTACCTGGAATCTATTACTGTGAGCAGAGAAACAGTCTGTCTCTTACCGGCCTTTGAGAGGAACCGGATGATCAGAGGGGACCAAGATGGCCAACTGAGGCAAACTGTGACTTTTTAAGCTTGCCATGAGGATTGGCCGACCCTGTCTTGCTATCTCTACAAGGGATCATGGCAGTGGCAGGAGCATGAGGAATCCTCACGACCTGTAGGGAAAGAAGACGGGCCAATGTCCAAGTGTAGGCAGAA